TGTAGAAGAATGGAAAGAAATTGCTTACAGGAGTACAAAGGCACCTAATTAGAATGAAACAGAAGATAGTAAGATAGGGAGACATTTTGGCAGAGTATAACAGAGAATAATTCCTGACAGTGAATCTATTAAGCAGAGGTAGGACCTCTCAAGGGTGGGGTAGCAGGAGACCAGTTGGTTGGAATATATAAAAGTAGACTATACAAAACATGAGAAACCATGCAACTATGAGGGAAAATTCCTCTGGAACTACATCTAGTCTAACAGTTCTTTCCCATCTATAAATTTATAAGCTAAGCTTTAATTAAGAGAGCAGAGAAGAGTCACAGCCATGATTATACTCCCTCACAGCTGCTTTTCCTGTGGTTCTTAATGTTGTTATTGCTGCTTTCTTACACAGCAACTGAGCTTTGGAATCATGGCTATGATTTGGAATGAGTTTGAAACCAGTTCAGAGAGTACTGCGCACAGCGAAGAACAACAGGACAGTGCCAGCTGGGAGAGGTACTTGGAAAGGAGAAGCCTTGTTCTGCAGTTCCTGCACTCCAGCCTCAGCCGCCACCACCTCCAGCACCACCAGAACAAAGTTGAGCTTCTGAAGAAGTGTCACTTTTACTTGGAGATCGAGCCCAAACACGTGAACGTGAGAGACCAGAACCACGTGATGCATCGCACTGACATCTTGCAACTAATAGACCCCTGCCAACTCCGGAGGATGAAGGCGGTGGGAAAAAACCAGACTGAAATCCATCTGGCGCTTTTAACTGGGCTGTTGGAACAGCTGGAGCGAGGTCAGGAGGAGCTGAGCTGTTACGTAGAGACCTCTGACATGATAACTTTCCTCTCCCGGTGGGACTTGATTATGCAGAGACTATCCAAGCTCTCCGAGTTCATGGAAACTCTCGTTTCCTTGCAAGTGCCAGGAAAGCTCTACGTCAAGCACCGTTTGGTGTCACATGCAGATCTTAGAGGTACTAGACTCCCCAACATCAGGCTTTCTCTCTGTACAAAGATGCCACTGATTTTTGATCGAAAAGAATCATTTGCACACAAGAACTGGGCCAAGCTCAAGTGGTTTACTGAAAATCAAGAGTCACACCTCGAACAATGTGAACTGCAAGTCAAGTTACTGACAAACGAGAGTCAGACAGAACCGGGATACGGTAGGAGTCAGGTAGTCACCTCCAACACATATGTAGTCCAGGACCTGCAGCCCGGCAGATCATACGAATTCACAATTAGAAGATCAGACACTCACACACTTGTCTTTGAAAAATGGCATGACAGCATTACATTGAAGACAAAAACTAATGGCGTTGAAGACGCGGACAGCAGCGCTTGTGCGCCAGAAGGATGAGGTGGCACACAAGAACGTTCTTCTCATTTTATCCATTTGAAAAAGATGGATGAGAAAAATTAAAGGTAAACCTTATTTTTAAACATTTTGCGTAAAACTGAACTCGTTCTGTTTTCAACAACCATTTTACAAGCGCCTTCCCCCAAATCTTTCCAGGTTAACCGTAACCCATTCCAAATTTCTCACACAAAATAACATCCTTAGGCAGCATTCGGGACTCAACACTCACCTCCCGCTGCCAGAACTCACAGGTGGGAGCAGCTAGAAGCAGGCAGCCTTGCAGGACACCTGGGATGCAAAGCACGGGAGATAGAAGCATCTCCACCATCCAGTGCTTCCCATCCACCGAAAGATGCCCAGTGCCAGCGTGTTACAATGATGTTGTTTTGGGTTTTTTTATCCCAAGTTATTTTTTTTTTTTTCTCCCCCATGTCCTTCCTCCGAAACACCTGAACTGAATCCTAAGGTCTTCAAATCACTCACCCTAACTTACCTCAATCTCTGGTTCCTCTCACGCTCTACACCCTGGGCCTTACAGGTACCTAAGCATGATTTTGTGCTCACCCCTCTACAGTGCACGAAAAGATCACTCTGATTAAAAAAAACAAAAAACGAACCAACACAAAACCAACAACAAAAAACCCCCAACCACCCCCCAAGCCCCCCCAGCAAACGGGGAAGGGTATTACATCCACATGACCAATATGTAGAAAACAATCTTTTCTGCCATATACTGCAGTTAATGCTCATTTTCTTTTTTACCATTTGGTTCAGTCCAAATATCTATCAGTTCTGTCCCCACACAGATTCTAGTCAAACCATCACATAAACAGACCTTTTAGTAATAAAATTTATTATTTAAATAAATTCAAATCATTTTTACAATTATGGCTTAAATATCAAAAAAGGAATGTTGAGGTTCATTCTTATAAACGGTAGAAGCAGGTAAAAATACTTGTATCCAAAATGTCATTTGAGGTTTGCTGCAAGTCACAGATATACAAAAGATAAAAACCCACCACATTTAAAGTTCCTTAATTTACACTTCATGACACTTAACATTTCATTTCTATTTTAAAAAAACCCAACAATTTATTGCAGTAAATTGATTGTCCTACACAGATCCGTCCAAATCCTCTAAAACAGGCCAGTGGGCTTCTCCTTTGCCAGCTGGAGCCAAGGAGAGGTTTCCTAGTTCTGGATGTCTGTAATCTCACCGCCAGGCCGAGCAGGATGCAGGGCGATGGCTGCAACCACACGGCCCGTCACAGGCTGACGCCTGGCACACCGCTTGCCGCGGGCGCGGGTTCCCGTTGTTCAACTCGGACTCACGCTCTAGCTAGTGCCGAGGAAATTAAAGTTATCCTGCTGGATGAACCGACCTTTGCGTCCTGCAACAACGTTCTTTTTGCCTGTGAGCTGCGGAAAACGTAGAGCCCGTGATCGGACAGATAGCCTGTGCACCACGCTGCCAGTGGTTTCCTACCGGAATTACCAAAGGTTTGCTTTTTTTGTAAGTATTTTAAGAATATGTGCTTGAACATAAAATTCTTTCAAAAGCAAATGCAAAGCTCTGTGTGCAAACGAAACTGGACTACTTTGAACTTCTTTTCTCTATTAATTTCTATGATTCTCTCTCTCCGTGAGCATAAGCACAAGAACACGATGCTCAGCTGCTCGAACAGTCTATAAAAAGTTTAATTGCACTTTCTGCTATCCCTGACTACTGCAGCTGCGTGACCAACTCTACAGGTACCTGCTCACTGCCCAGTCAGCCCAAGAGTCCAGCCTGGCTGTTGCTGCTGCTTGGGTGGTCTAGGGCACCGTTTTCTCAACACAGTTACAAAATGCATCTTCGGAGGAAAAAAAAAGATGATGTATATTGTCTTGCAACACAGAGGTGACCAAGCAAAGCATTTCGGTCTAGTCTTTACCCTCCAAGGAGCAGCAGTAAACATTTTTTCCCCGCTGAGGGCAAAGGGAGATGCTTTGTGAGGTCTCTTTCTTGGTCTACACAAACATAACGGCCAAACCGCACACAAGAGCATTGGACTAAGCCACTACACTTGGGGTGTCTCCTTGTTTGTGTTACACGTAATGAAATAACCATAAAAAAACAAACAAACAGGAAAGAGACTCTTCACTTACATTAGATCGTGAAAATGAGACCCACTGGTTCTAAAGGGACCAAGATGACTTTGTTAGAATGATGCTGGCACCATGGTAAAGTATTTCTCCCAACAATTCCAGCACCGTTTGCAATTCTCCACGTCATCCTGGAGATACACGATTGCGTTTCAGTAGTCCACAAAATGATTCCCATACAAGCTTATTTTGGCATTGCAATATTATTTGCAAAATCAGGCTGGCGCAGAATCTTTAAGATCCCAGCTGGGATGACTTCAAAGAGGATCATCTTACCAGCTTTTATCAAGCATCTTTAGAACCAGCAGGAGTTACTTCCTACGGGCTTTTGTCCCTTACGGAATCGCCAGCCATATGCCCGTTATTACGCTTCAGTAAGACAAGAGCAAGCCGGGGTGGTGTCTAGTGTACAGATCAAACCCACCAAATGCAGAAGTGCAGGAAGGTAGTTTGAAAAAAGGAAGAGAACAACAAAATTTCTCCATAGGTTCTTGGGTCAAGTCTAACACAGAGTCACGAGAAGAAACACAGCGTTAAAGAAGGACTTTTCCAGACACAACGCTTTCTTATTGCACATTCCTCCACACTGGAAAGAGCCATGCTGCATTTTCAGCTGCAATCACAGGACAAAATTCATCCCTGCCGTAGCGCTGTGAAGTCACGGGGACCCCTCACTTACGCCAAGGAGGACTTGTGTCCCGGCACAGTACATACTTGGTGCAAAACCACTGTGATTGCATCTTGGCTCCATCCCACGTGAGCATCTAGAGACAGCCAAGCGTGTGGTCTTGGGGGAGAGCTGAGGCAGGCACTTCATACATTCAGAATAGAAATGAGATAAAAGACACCCTCCCTCAAAACTATCATGCTTCAAAAAGCAGCTCCATGATTCAGCAGAGAGCACCACTTCACCACTATACATCTGTATCAGCCATACGTTACCGGCAAAAGCAGCCTTCTCTAGTGAATCACAGCTTCCAGTTCACAGCAGTTTGGCTACTTAAAATAAAAAAAAATACATTATACACATATATGCTGTGGTACATTTATCAAATTTCCATCACCGCTCTTAAAAACTCAGGCCATGACTGTGAAACAAATTCACAGAGTTAAAAGTTAATAAATTAGAAGCAGCTTTAAAAAAATAGGAAAGGGGGGCTCTTACAGAAGGAGATTTCAAATAAAATTCAGAACAGTTTAAAATATGCTTACAAATTCCAACATTTCCTGGTAGGAGCGGTCCTCGCTTTTCATTAACCTTATACTGGTGAGGACAACCTCCTTTGTACAAAGAATAAGTAAGTCTATTTACAAAATCAACTTGGCCTTGGCTTTGTGGTATTTACATGCTCAGAGAGCAGCATTTTGGTTAGACAGAGTGGTACGTGGTTCTCTCTTTGCTTTCTTCCTTCACTTTAAAAAAACAAAACGACAAAAAAAACAACCAAAAAAAATGTTTTTCTGCTTTGAGAAATGAGAAGCCTTAAAAATTCCCTGGCCTTGGTTTTAAAATGAGTGGTAGTACTCAGAAGCTTTGGTCCTCTATGGCAAATCGCAGCTTGCTGCGCGGCTCCGTTGCGCGCAGTCATTCCACCCTCGATGAATGGACTGAATATTTGGTCCCCAAGGTGCAGCTGCACTGGCAGATAGGATGGGGGCTCCGCAGAGCGTCTTCCAGTTAAAAAAATAGTATCATCGTTAATAAAGTCACACACCCATCCATCCATTTCCAATGCTTTTTGGTTTGCTCGAGCTGAAAGTTCCTGTCCGAGGTTGCACTGATTAAAAAAACCCCCAGATGCCAAAGCACGCACTGAAGCTGAGCTGTCACTGTGCAGGGGAAGATCCCGGCTCCCCCACCGCATTTGGCTCCGCAGGTCGTTAAATAATGGAAAGATTGCGTCCTTCCCAAGGCACACGTAACGCAGTTCAGGTAGAGAGGGACGAGCTCATCGAGGTACAACCCATCCTCATCGGCGGAAGGCTGAAGTCTTCCTGATAAAAATCCCCTGGGCGGCAGTGTAGCAGTTGTGCTGTCTGTAATGCTGAAGCAGTCTCCTCCACAGAGGGTTGCACTCCAGGAGGTACTGGTTCCCTGTTGGCACAGGGATGGGGGCAAGCGGGTTAGTGGCCAGAAGAGGCTAGGACGATACCGTCACAGAAACTTTTGCCTAACACTTCTAGCCTAAGGGTGCTGGATAACTTGCAGGGACGTTTCCTTCAGCCAGAGCTCTGTGAAATCCCAGCTCCCTTTTCAGGGCTGTCATATCTTACGCTTGCATGATTAGGAGGAAAATAAGCAGCCAAATTCTGTTAGGAGAGAGCTCTAGCGTGCAAGTGACGGAAACGACGTGGTCCGAACCAGAGGGTGAGAAAAAACTAATTATACATGCTGCATACGAGCTATGCACGATCTCTGCTTTGCACAGATTGCCCAGATAGCCCAGCTTCAAAACCACAGACAATCTAAAGGGCACAAGGATAAAGAAAGACCATCGGTTCTACCAGTTTGGGTCTCCACCCCTTTATCCAAGCATCCTGTTCCCCTGCAGGCCTGTGCACACTCCCAGGAGACCCACCTAAAATGCAGAGTCCTTCCTGAGCTCGCGTGATGCCGACATTGACCTGGTTTGGGTCGGTAACAAACCCCAGGTACTTCTTCTGCCAGCTCTTCGTGGGCTTCCTATCAATCTCCGATCGGGGGCAGGAGCGTACAGTTGACAGGATCACGTATCTCCACTCACTTCCTAGAAAGCGCAATTGAACCAGACTTTTTTTAGAAGGAAGCATCTGGCCACCCCTCCACCCCACAAGACACTCATTTCTCTACAGCAAGACCCGTAAAACTGCAGCCACTGTTTGGGTTTCTCCAGCTTTGGAGGCCATTGGACTCCTGGTCGTTGCTCTCCAAAGAGCACGTGCTATGTCAGTTCTTTAACACCCCCTTCAGACATCCTCCACCTCCCTATCTTCACCAGCCTCACCCTGCCTGGCCACTCCAGAGGTTTCCAAAGGATTTATTATAATCACAAATCACCCAGAAATTTGGCCCAGGGATGCTTCCTCCATGGCTGAAACGAGCCTGGTGTAGGATTTGCTCAAAGACTGTCTCTGTGAGAAGTTGCTTCAAGTCCTCAGGAAGGCGGGAGAGAACAGAACCAACCATCCCCTCTCCTGCCAGCCTCACCTTGACTCTTCATGATGGTGCAGACGGTCACTCCATGGATGCCCTCTCTCAGGAGGCTCTTGCTGATCTCGGACACCTGGGCGTTGTAGGGGCTCAGGATGGCGATGCTCTCTGGCCGGATGGTGCCATCTAGTGTCAGCTGCTTCGCCATCCTCACCTGGGGAGACCAGGGTCCTGCTCACCTGGGAGCAGCGGCCGGAGGGAACCAGCCCTCCGGCACACTGTCCCCAGGGCAGCGATGGTGCCTGGCTGTGCTGCTCCCCCTGCTCTGGGTCACACTTCCCTACAGCTGCCTCTGGCCAGGGGCATCGTGGCGTGCTCCAGACCTGGGAAGACGCCAGGCAGATGCTGCACCCCACTGATCTTTATCCTATATCGCTACTCGTTGTCCCTCCATGATCCCCAGAGTCGCCCAGCACAACACCCTCCCTTTTGCATCTCCAGCAATTTCCCAGGACCCTCCTCACCGCCTGCTCCGCTTCTTCTGGGTTAGCTTTGGAGTTCTCGTTTCCTTCCTCAGTAGTAATCATGAGGCTCTGCTCCTTCCCCTCCACGTGCCCGAAGATGATAGGGCAGCAGCTGTTACCTTTGTGGTGGAAGACACTGGGTTTACGAAGAAGCTGGGGGCACGTTTTCAGCCGCGTTTCATAAAACTCCTGGGACGGGAACTCGCAAATGCCTTTGTGCTGGCAGAGAAAAGGGGAGAAACAGAGATGAACAAAACCCAGGGAACTTCTCAACCTGCAGCGTCTTTTTGGGCAGGCTTCACCTGCAATGCCACTGTGCTACAGCTGGTACTGGGCGAGTGCATTACTCTACTCTAGGAAGGGAAAGCGCTAACGGAAAATATCTGTTTCCCAGTGGCTTGAGGCAAGCCCCGATAGCAGCATTTTCTGGGATGGAGAAAAGACAATCCACCTGAGGAAGGCCTCACCATGCGGTACTGCGTATCCAGCATCCACGCCTGAGACCGGTAGCGCTCAAAAAGAGATGTCTCCATGCCAAGACTCTTGCAGAAGTCATTGTTGACTACAGGCCGCAGCTGTTTGTGATCCCCAAGCAAAACAACCTGGAACAAAGAGTGGACACCTCAACGATGAGGGTGGTGGCACTGGTGAAGGCAATCAGCTCTTTGAAAGGCTACTTGCACACAGACATTTGTTGCTCCTTATTTATGTTATGGTTACAGCAACCTCAGTCAAGGACCACGTTGGGCATTAAATAAAGATCCTGACCCAGGTAACGCAGAGCCTTGTTCCCAGCTGATGGGAGAAAGACATCGTGTAGTAAGTCTACTGAGATCTGCTCTGTGCTTCTTGTCACGTTAATACTTTGTACCTGGGTCAGCACATTTTTTGGTGGCAGTGATACCCACCCCGTAAAGAAGCACCAAAAATCCAGCCACACCACCACTTTTTTTCTCTTGCAGAAGGCCAAGAGCAAGTTTAGAGGAGACAGTATGGGTGTAACTGTCTGAGGACAGAGAGCTGAGCTGATACACGCAGCAGAGAGGCGAGCAGATGCAATAGTTCTCCACCACAGCTTTCAGGCCTACAGCAGGTCTTATGACTCTGCTTTATGTGATATGAACAGACAATTCACAGCTCGTGCATCTAGTGAGAATACTTACGTACTGCACGTACCTCAAGATTTTAATTATAGTTAGTAGAGTTATACCTCGAAGGAAACAACCCCCTGAAGGCTGAAACGTTGATACACCATCATAGATACTACCAAGAACAACCTTAAAGCCTGGTAAAACTTGGAAGAGCTGCATGGTGAGGGGTGGAAGACATGCAGAGGTTTGAGAGCCCTGAGCAGCCGTCCTAGAGACGCATCTTTGGAAGGGACTTACCTTCTCAGCATGGCGGTGGCTGACCAAAGGGATGAGGGTCTCGGGCTCTGTGGACATGGCACACTCATCAATGATTATCTGCTTGACACTGAGCTGCTCCAGGGAGGCGGCAGATGCAGCGGAGCACGTGCACAGGATGACATCGTGGCCTGCCAGTTCGTATGCACGAGCAGCTGACAACTGATTTTTGTACCTGGTGGTCGATGCAGAAGACATAAGGGAATCATCTCCGGGTTCCTCGTGCAGGAACCAGGCAGAGGCTGTAGAGGCTGTACTTTCCCAAATTATTATGGCTCTATCTCCCTCCCCAGGATGAACTGGTGTTCCTAGAAAAGGGCTTTGGATGGACACTGTAGGAAATGTACTTTGTCCTGAACTCAACAGGGCAGGGGCTCGGGGCGGAGGATGCAAGTGTCACACACACGCATAGTTTGACTTTTGGTCCAGACGGACAACAGCACCAGGGCAGAAGTGATGCTGAGGCTCTGCACTGTACCACTAACCCCGAGCTAATCGCTTTTTACCATCATTCCAAACACGCAGCTTATTGATCTGTCTTGATGTTTTCACCCAGTCCCTTGGCTTGCATGAGCCAGGACAAATCTGCTGACTTTCACGCAGTCTACCGGTTTGTGTCAGCTGAGACCTAGCAAGTACAGCCCAAACCTCTTCTCGCAGGGGGAGGAGATTGCTGCACTGTGCTCCTTCGGGCAGTGCTTCAGAGGTGGCACACGGCCAAAGTCAGCCGTCTCTCACCAGGGTCTCTTTCTACTCACTTCCTTGTTTCTTCTTCTGTTATCCGCTCTCCTTTCTTCATCCGAGTATCAAAGTTACAGATCTCCTGCCACAAAGGGTTGGGCGGCCGCCGGATGCGATGATGCAGGATTATTTCGCTGAATAAAGAGTCAATATATAAATATTTTCCCCCAACACAGACCCAAGTGATCTCTTCTACAGTGAAGCATACCACACCTGTCTATGTGGAGAAACCTCATTAGCTAAAGAAGTCACAGCCAGACTTTTCCATCTTTATAGACCTAACAGTTAGTTCACCCTAGAGGACACAAAATACAACCACTTTTCTTTAGCAGTTGCAAGCAGGAATATTTAGAGCTGTTCAAAAGAGAGATGAAAACATCTAGGATGTTTTCAACAACTGGGTTTCCTGGCTAGGTGCTACATTAGACTATACACCTTCACTTGGAAAAATTAAGTACAAAGCAGGTTAATAGTGCTGCTCCACAGCAGCAGAGTGGAAACAGCATTTGCTCTGGCTTGTTCAGCTTTACCGGTGCAGAAAACGTCGCTCCCCAGCACTCTCAGAGCCTGCGGGGCCATGCGGTCCTACCTGAGCTCACGCTTTGGTTTTGCATCCCGCAAGGCTTTGCGGTAGAGGTTCCGGTTGCTCCCCGGGTATGGGTATTCCATCGTCTCAATGGCCTCCCCGTAAACTCTCAGTGGTTTCAGGATCTTCAGCTTCAGCAGCATCTCTGGGGAAGGAGAACGGGTCTGCTCAGACAGCACCAGGCACCGGTGATGCTGAGAAAACCCATGGCCTGCGAGGTGCCCGGTGTTTGCCGTGCACTCTTCTCCCCACCCCTCGCTCATCAACCCCACTTTTACTGGTCCTTGCCCTGCCGTGAGGGGTCTTCTGTAAGGAGCAGCCCCGCTTTATGCCCCTCCTGTCTCCCAGCCTCACAGTCACGGCCACGTGTTCTCCCTCCCACCAGTACGAGCTGCTTCAGGGGCTTAAAACCAATACTTACCAGCAACAACATCAACAGACTTGTTGGATGGGCCACAGTACAAGATGCACTTTCTCCCCTTGTGCTCTTCTTCTTCAGAGGATGGTGTTTGCTCCTTCTCGACGCTCTCCTCGTTCAGCTTATGGAACCAGTAGACAATGTGAGTTCCAACAACAGTTTTCCCCGTGCCTAGAAAAGCAAGGAGGTTGCTGAGAACGCTTTAACCATGAAACCCATCCTCTAGATCAGCATCCGCATGATCAGCCATGAAATAAAAGCAAGAACCAAGGGGACTGCATCGAACAGTTGTGGGTGATGCCAACCCATGCTACCTTCTCCTGTCTCACCGAGGGCCTATTGAAAGGTTGCCCGGGGAAGTGGTTGAGTCACCATCCCTGGAAATATTTAAAAGACGTGTAGACGTGGCACTTAGGGACATGGTTTAGTGGTGGACTTGGTAGCGTTACGTTAATGGTTGGACTTGATGATCTTAAGGGTCTTTTCCGACCTAAATGATTCTGTGAAAGCAACAGATTAGCTCTAACCTGCCCTTCAAAACAAAGTAGGCATGTACTTGTGCCGTCCCCCCAGCCTTACCTGGTGGGCCTTGGATGAGCGTGAAGGATTTTCTCAGAGCATTTAGAATAGCCTGGTTCTGACTCTGGTTGAGCTTCTTGGGGGTGCCAGGGACATCAAAGGATTTTTGCTGCAGGATTTTGGACGTTGTCACTGTTACGCAAAGAGCCAAGAAAACAAGTTTAAAGAAGGTTACTGAAGACAGCACACAAGGATTCAACAGAAGGGTGCAGCAGGTACCAAGCAATCGTGGCCCATTTACAAGACCATCTAAAAGGAATCCTTGTCCCGTGCCAAGATGTTCTGCCCATGAGCCTTCTCTGTGAGTCCTGGGGATTAAAACATCACCCGTGCCACTCTCCAGCAGGGCATCCCATATTACCTTCACTTTGCCAGGCTAGCAGCTCCTCTCCTCCCCTTGGCAGGGGAACCTCCTGGTCTGGGAGCGTAACCCCTATGGGCCAGGACCCATGGAAGCTGCCAGGGTACCTGCCTGGTCAGAAGCAAGTAGCCACAAGGTAAGAAAGGTGAATATTTGCACCTACCTCTTTTAGGAGGTTCATGGCCAAGGGCGATGCTTTTAGCAAGCTCGGAGGCATGCTGGAGCTTCCAAATTGCCTTTTCTTTCCGTCTGACAGACAGGGAAAAGTGAGAATGAATGGAATGTAGCATAAAACAGCAAAAATTGTAATACAGCTTTGTACAACTGTCTTGTTTATTCCTTCTCTCTGTTTTGATGTTGCATTAAATCCTTCCACAAAGAACTTAAACCAAAACCACTCTTATTCTGCTCTTTCGCATCTGGGACTATTTCTGAAATGTCTGAAGAGCTGAGCCTGCAAAGATGTTGAGAGCAGGGAGCACAACTTCTGTCCCAACTCCATTTTATTATGGCCCACCCCATTTTATTGGGTTAGCTTCCAATTTTTTCCTAAAATTCACAATACAAAAGGAAGCGCATTCTGCCCTGAAAAAGCTACAGCAGCCTTGGGTGTGTGGCAGTCCAAAAGACTGCCCTACAGCAGTCTAGGGCAACTAGACATCAATTCTGCTTTAATAAGAGCAGATCTTGCTTCACAGCAACAACAAAGGGGAAGGATTGGGAAATCAGGGAGCACTTCTGCTAAGCAAACCCTGATCCAGTGCTTCACGCTGCCTTTTATGACACATATTGCAGCAATCCAGTAACATAAGAAACAGATGCCCAGGGAAATTTCAGCACGGCACCCTCCCCTATCTCCCCATTCTCAAGGTCAACCAGAGGAGCAAAAGGCCAGCTGGAGAACAGATCTGAGAAATGCTGCCACCCCACCAAACATCAACAGCCCAACAGCATGGCCAGTCGGAGCTGGGCAAAGACAGATTTTTCAGGGGATCAGCCGCACCAGCAAGCAAATCCCATTTGGGTGCAGCAAAGGAGTCCTGTGGGAAGCCGTTTCTCTGCACAGACAGGTTAACCAGAGCACTACCGCTAAGCACACTTACACGTCTGGCAGCATCTTTGGTATGAGCTCCACCGTGAACCTGGCAGAGGCCTGTGAGATTTCCACAGGGATGTTCTCCATAGACATATAGTGGATGTAAAAGTTCATAGTCTGCTGACTAGTCCTGTCTGACTTCTCGTTGTCGCTGAACTCTTCAGTGACTCCGTGAGCCACCCAGGTGTAGGTATCTGGATCAACCACAAGTTTGTTTTCTGACCTGCCCTTGTCAAGAAAAGTCAGATTCTGAAGGCCACGGCTGAGGCATTCCTCATCGCTTTGAAGGCTCCTAAGCTTCAGCCCGCCTAAGCGAATGCACAAGTAACAGTGGTTGAAGTCCACTTCAATGGAGCACTCCTCTGAAAATTTTTTCTTTAGGAGGAAACTCCCTTGCAGCTGTCCTTTTCTTGTCCTTTGCTTTGCCCAGGTTATTTTGACATCGTGGAGGACAATCGAGTCGTTTTCAGCCACCGCGCATGAAGCAGACTCCATGGCGCTCATCGGCATCCATACCTTGTTATACTCCACTGCATGCTTGTACTTGTCTTTGGACGGCAGGGTGGCGTAGGCGGAGAAGCAATCAATAGGCTTTTCCATATGCTGCAGGCAGACATCGAAACCTGGTGTCACACACCACAGCTGCACGAAGGGCACCAGGAAGCCCCGGCAGACGTCCGTGGTGAGCTGGAACTGCAGCGCGTCGCCGGCGCTCAGCTCCAGGGAGAGCTCCATGTAGTGCAAGCACTGGCTCTTCCTTACCCAGCCCACGTGCCGCCGGTACAGCTCCTTGTCATTCCGAA